CCTTCCTGAGCTAAAACAAAAATGTGTGAGCCGGAGGCTAAAAAACTGTGAGCTAGCTCACACTAACTCAGCTTAGAGGGAACACTGGTCACACCTCTTCTTCACGTGAGGCAACACTGGATGTATTCAGTTAGGCAAGAGCTGTCACTGCTTGTAGATATTTTGGTGCTGGATTTCCAACTCTTCAGTTGTCCTATATGAATTTACTGTGGCTCTGGTCATCTGAAAAAAGAAAGGCTGGCGGAGGGAGGGGAATGGAGAAGTCTACAAACCCCTACGACAACCATCTAAGGACATCAGAAGAGAACTACTGGACCAGACCAGTGGTCCATCTAGTCCAACATCCTGTCTCACACAGGAACTGGTTGTCTACAGTGTGAGAAAGGATGCTGGTCTAGATGGTCCCTCACTGGTCTGATCATAAGAACATAAGAGATGCCAATGTTGGATCAGGCCAAAGGCCCATCCAGTCCAACACTCTGTCACACAGTGGCCAAAAATACCAGGTGCCATCAGGAGATCCACCAGTGGGGCCAGGACATTAGAAGCCCTCCCACTGTTGACCCCCCCAAGCACCAAGAAGACAGAGCATCACTTGCCCCAGAGTCCCTATCTATACGTTGTGGCTAATAGCCACTGATGGACCTCTGCTCCATACACTTATCTAATTTCCCTGGTCTGATCCAGCAGGGCTCTTCTGATGCTTTTATCAGGGGAAGGCCTCGGCCTCTCTGCCCTGTTGTCAGAGGAACTGGTTGGCTGCTGTGTGAGACAGGATGCTGGATTAGATGGACCCCTGGTCTGATCCAGCAGGGCTCTTCTGATGCTTTTATCAGGGGAAGGCCTTGGCCTCTCTGCCCTGTTGTTGGCTGTCCAGAGGAACTGACTGGCCACTCTGTGAGGCAGGATGCTGGACTAGATGGACCCTCACTGGTCTGATTCAGCAGGGCTGATGTTCTCATGAAGGCCTCAGCCTCTATGCCCTGCTGTTGGCCATCTAGAGGAAGTCGTTGACCACCATATGAGACAGAATGCTGAACTAGATGGATTATTGGTCTGGTCCAGCAGGGCTCTTCTTTTGTTCATAAACAACACCCCTTGATGCTTCTATTAACAGGACAGGATACTCCCCCCCCCTCCAGGCAGTTGGCAACGTTGGTGCATCGTGTTCTCTGCTCACCGAAAAGCAAATGCTTTTCGTCTCAGCCTGATGGAGAGGGTTAAAGATCTGTTTGCTTAACGGTTTTGTAGGAACTCCAACTCCTTCCAATTAGCAATGCTCCTGGGGAACACCCGGAGCTTATCTCAGCAAGAAGGAGAAACAATCACTTAATATAATTTGAGTTGTACCGTTGAGATGGAGGTGGCAGCCAAAACCCCGAAGGGGGAGGCAGTCCAGTTGCGCTTTCTCAAAGCTTTTCCCGGGCTCTCTGGGGTGATGAATGACAGGAGGGCGTTTTGCTGGTGGTAATGATTTATTTACAAAATTGGTACTCCACCTTTCTGTCCTCATCAAGACCACCTAGGTGGTGAACAGGCTAACGTGCATAATAAAAAAGGTGTCTTAATTAATTAATTAATTAATTATCGTATACGGCAGTGTGTGTAGTACAGCCAGGAGAACCTAAGATTGTCTGGCAGCCAGAAGTTCTAGCTCTTTTAGCATAATGCACCACTACCTGGCAATCTCGATTTGTTTTTTAAAGGCAAGAGATGTTTCAGAGGGGGGTTTGCCATTGCCTGCCTCCGCATCACGACCCTGGTATCCCTTGGAGGTCACCCTTCCAAGTACTAGCCAGGGCTAGCACTGCTTAGCTTTCGAGATCTGACGGGATTGGTCTTGCCCGGACTATCCAGGTCAGGGCAAGATGTCTGAGAAGCCATTAAACCAAACAAAAACTTCATCAACCAAACAAAAACTTATCGTTAAAACCAAGGGTCATTTCGTAGAAAAAGAGGTGCAGGAGCTCATTAGCATAACTCATTTGCATATGCCACACCCCCTGACATCACCGGAAGTGTGTCAGAAGGCAACACCCACCGCTCAAGCTCCACTGGACAGTTTTGGATTGCTAGCTATTGGGGGGTGGGGGACGTGCCGATCTGTCCTCACAGAGGAGGGAGACCTTGTACCTG